CAACTTTCTGATCTGCCATATTCTGTACTGGCTGCCCTCTTTCCCATCATCTCAGGATCCCACTGCATCGCTCCTGTACTTGGTCACCTCTTTCCTTTATCCCATGTATTCTCTTTTCTTCATTCCTTCATGTGAGGGGCATATTCTGCAGTAGATTCCTGAGAGAGAATGCACGGAAGATTAAAAAAAAAAAAAATTCGAGATCTTTCACGTCTGAAAAGGTCTTTTCATGTACCTTCACACTTAACAGGAAGATATGGAGTTCCAGGATGAAAATAAATTTCCTTCAGAAATATCTTCAGTCTTCAAGTCTTGCTTTTGAGAATTCTGAAATGATTCCGATGCCTGATCTTCATTTGTAGCCTACTTTTTTCCTCTTTGGAAGCTTACAGAACTTCTTTGTTTTCAGTTTTCTGTTTAAAAATAGTTTGTGCCTGGCACTCAATAGGCCTTTTTAATCTGGAAATATATCCTTTGGTCTTGGGAATATTCTTCAATCATATTTCTGAAATAACTTTCCTTCTATATTACTGTGGTCTATTTCTAGAACACTAACTTATTTAGTATTTGACCTCCTGGATTGATCCTCAAAGTTATCTCTTCTCTCAAATAAGAATATTTATCAAATAAGAGTATCTCCTTTGTCTTTTTGCACTACTTTTTAAGAAATTTTCTCAAATTCATCTCCCAACTCTTTCCTTGTTATTTCTGCTATATTTTAATTATTAGTAACAGTGTTTATCCTTCACTGAATCTTTTTTAGACTATCCTGTTCTTGTTTCATGAATGCAATATCCTCTGTTACTTCTGAGATGAAAATAACAGTAACTTTGTCAGAGTTTTCGTCTCTTTGGCCAGTCTGGCTTCCACGTGAGTCAATACCATATGATGCTACATCAGTATACGACCTGTGTTCCCACATCTGTTTCCACCAGGTATTTTTCTCAGAAATGCTGCACTAAAAGAACATACAAAGACAATCTAAGGAATGACCAGGTAGCCTATGCCTTAGTTTAGGGAAACACGGAAGGTCTTTCTGATCCTTTTAGGCATGGCAACTAGGACCAAAGAGAAACATTAAACTTTCTTGGTTTGTAAAACCTGCCCACCTCTCTGCTTCTCAAAATACTAAAGCAAAGAGGCCCTTTACATAAACAAGCAGATTTCATTTGTGCACCCAAATCAGGGCTTGCTTCAACCAACTCCCCACCTGCATCTCCAAGTTTACTTAAATCATCTTGATTTGCCATTTCACAGAGTGGCCTCTGCAGGCCATCTTCAGCAGGGCTGGGCTATGTGTAAATGGCAGCTTCGTGGTGTTCTCCAGGCATCGGGCAACACTTGGGGTCTTCCTGCGTTAACACAATCACTGAGGCTGGTCTCCAGAGATGTAAAGACTTAGTCAGGGACTAAGACAGGCAGCTTCATAACTACATGTGCTAAGTGTGCTCAGCACACTCTCTGGCAAAGCTAAGCCAAGACTCTGTGGTCAGCACCGTCTACTGTCCGTGACCCACTCCAGCCATGAGACAAGCAGGAGCAAGGTCAAATAGTCACAGACCAAGCAGAAGGTTAGAGTTAAAACAAAAATAATCCTCCTGGTCTGACTTAACAGTAAAGACCGCAGCTAAAGATTATAACTTAGAAACCCTGAAGGAGGTTGTCTCAAAATTATTTAATATGGATTTTTTTTCCCTATAAATGTTGGAGAACTTTGATGCCCATCCTTAGACAATCTCTCATCTTTTCTACTGACCCTCTCTTGTGATCTCATCCAGTATTACTTTATAAATACATTCTATATGCTAACTCTCAAACTTATATTTCCATACCAGAACCAAATTTGAATATTCACCTAACCAATTTCTCCATTTAGATTTCTAATAGGAATCTCAAACTTAACATGTCTAAAGCTGAGTTCCTGATCTTCTCAAAAACCTGTCCCTACTGAGGTCTTCCCCATCTCAGTCAATGGCCATTCTTTACTTCCCTTACACACTCACCAACTCTTCTACTTGTCCTGTATAGTGGATATTAAACCTTATGAATCTTTTTATGTCTGGAAAATATTTTATTATGCTTTTACATGTGAATGAAACTGAGAATTCCTCAAGTCATTTACCCTCAAAAATTTAGAAAAACAAATTTCTCAATTATTTTCTCTTTTCCATCATTATAAAACAAAAACACCAGTATCAGTTTTATTCTTGTTCCTTTGTAGTCTATGCATTTTCCTCCCATAAGCTTTGAGAACTTTGTCTTTATTCTAGATATTCTAAAATTTTACAATTCTATTAATAGATGTTAATATTTTTCAGTTATCTTGTCTCCTACTCACACAGCCCTTCTAAGGACAACTGCTTTTCACAAGAAATTTCCTTCTAGTGGTTCTTTATTCCTTCCCATCCATTCTTATTTCACTGCTTCTGTAACTTCTCTTAGCAGATTAGAACCAGATCTTTTATGCTGCTTAACTTCTCTTTCATGCTTTTTAAAAATCTTTTTGTACTATATGCTGCAAAAAAAAATACTCAGCAAAATCTTCCAAGTTATTAATTTGTTCTTAAACTTTGTTCATTCGTTCTTCAGCCCACCCATAAGATTATTCATTTGCAAGATCTCTAATCTGCTCTTTAAAAAATATTCCTTCTATATAGATATGCCATTCTCTTTTATTTGTTTGAGAAGCACCAATGACCCTTTTAAATGTTTCTTTCTGTTTGCTTACTTTTGTTAGGTTCTTTTATTTACTGATTTTTGGTACTGATGTTGGTATTCCTGAAATGTCTGTTAATTCTTGGTTCTTACACATTTTTACATGTAAGAACTCTGTCAACCAGCCTATAAATGCTATTTCTGTTTACTGCAGGATGCTCTTTTATGACTGCAAGGAGGACAAACTAGTGGACGGAGTATATCAATAATTCATCTTCTGAGCACAGGAGGTCTTAGTTCCTCCAGGGTATCTCCACTCACCTTAAGGCTCTGACCCAAATTTATAATCAGTGTTCCAGCTAGAGAGCATCTGTCTCTGCTACATGGCATAAAAGTTAGGCTGGACCCGTATCTTGCTCCAATGCAATCCTCAGGCAACCACACGGATACTTTCCTTAGGATCTTTTTTAAAAGCACCACTACTCTTATCTTTTCTCAGCAGCCTTATCCTGAGTATGTCTGAGCTAATGCTTCTTTCTTTAAATTGATCCCAATGGCCTACTGTTTTTCCGATTCTTCACACTTGCTTATCCTCCCAGAAAGGCACACTTTTATTGATAACCAGCTCTGCTAAAATTATTTTGCTTTATCCTTAAAACTTTTCTACTTTTTTCTCTACTTTCTAAGAATTTAAAGTGATTCTAGTAATCCCCTAAAAGTGAAGTGAATTTTTCTGCCATTTCCTCAAATAATAGATTTTTCTCTAATGACTATTTAACAAGTAGTCTTTTTATTAAGATTTCATAGCACACCCAAAGAAAAAAAGAGATAAACCTAAGAAGTCAAAAGACTTCACAAGCTTTATAGTCTCGGGCTATACTAAAAATTACCACTTTCAACAGAACAGTTCAATACAATTGTCTTTTCTTTTTTTTTAAAGATTTTATTTTATTCATTTGACAGAGAGAGACACAGCTAGAGAGGAAACACAAGCAGGGGGAGTGGGAGAGGGAGAAGCAGGCTTCCCGCTGAGCAGGGAGCCCGATGCGGGGCTAGATCCCAGGACTCTGGGATCATGACCTGAGCTGAAGGCAGACGCTTAACGACTGAGCCACCCAGGCACCCCAATACAATTGTCTTCTTATGGAATGACCAGGAACCACTTTTTAAAATATGACTGAATGCTTAAAATCCACTAACACAAATTTATTACAAATCTTGACCAAAGTTAATATTAAGGTTTTCATTTGCTTTTCATTCACATCCCTAAAATACATTAACTATACAAAAAGATATACTATATATACATTATAAATATCTATTACATGTTATATATACTACATATATATACTGTACATAAACTCAACACTTAATTAGAGCTAACCTTTTTTCATTCATGTAATATATATTACATGCCCACTAGATTAAAAAAACAACTGGATAATGCATTGCCTTCTGAGATATAATCTCTCTGGTAAGGAAATTGAGAGATAAATATTCTAGGTATCTAAAACACATTCTGCTTTCTCAAAATTTGTAGTAATGAATATAAGAGCTCTTTGAAACGGGTAAACAGAAAAGTTTAAACCATACCGACAGACACTGAAAAGCAAAGGCAAAAAAAAAAAAAAATAGATATTTACATTAGCCCCTAGATCACAAATAAAGTCCTTCAAAATAGAAATGCAGCAATCCCACTCATTCTAAGTCACTCACTATACTGTAACTGTTGTGCCTGATTATTTAAACAAGACCCAGGAATATTAAAAATCACAGAACTATTTAGAGCTAGAATAGACTCAAAAGATTTATATTTGAATCCCAAACCTACTACCCACTAGCTGATGCCTGTGGACAAGTTACTTGAAAGGCCTAGTTTCAATGTACACTGGGGATAGCATTACAGCCTAGAGTTGTAAAGACTCAACAAATGAGTAACCATTACCTTCTGAAGCAGGATTTCCGTCATTTTAACACATGACCTCTTTTAGTAAATGTCAAAACTTTTTCCCTATTTTGTACTAGAAAATTAAAGTGAATTTCCTCCCAGCTGAATGTGTTTTTCCAATTTCATATCATCCTATCTAAATCCACAGCCTCTCTACTCCTATTTCTCTTAAATATCCAGCACCACTGATCTTGTGAATCTCTCCAGATAAGAAAGCTAAAGGTTAACCAGAGAGATTATATGACTTTTCCAAGGTCATATAGTGTCTTTCTACTTATTATCTTAAAAATATAATGCTACACATAAAATCACCTGAGGTTTGTAGATTCTTTTAAATCTACTTACTCATATGCATGGGGCAAAAAAACTGTACACAAAGTTACTTTGGAGTATTTACCTTTCTACATGCAGGACAAAGCCCATTTTCATCAGTGCGAATTCGATGCCAACAAAATCGGCAAATCTGATAGCCACAGGTGCAAGGAAAAAAGTTGATATCATCTATCTCCAAGGGCTCCATGCAAAGAGGACATTCCACAGGGTCTTCCTTCGCATCAGGACTGCGAGACATCTTCACGTTTATTAAACAGCAGCAAAAGTTTATAATAACTTAAGGGAGAAGGAAGTTCAGCACTGAGAACTAAACTGTAGAACTTCAAAGACCTGCATGAGAAGAAACAAAGTATACTGTTTACTACTGGGGAAAAAATGGCATTTTAACCATCAGGAACCATATTAACAAAAAATTTGTAAAACATTAATCAAACAAATTTTGCTATCATCTCAGATGAGATTTCAGAATAGAATTCTGAAGTTGTTTTGAATGTCAAAATAAAAAGTCTAGCATTACTAATCTTTTGGATTCAAGAGAAAGACAAAAGAACTTCCGCCTTTCTACATAAAACATTTAATACTAACCTAGCACCTAATCATAGCACATTTTAGGGAAATAAATAACATACAGCCTTAAAACACACTCTACACTGTCTTATCTTTGACCTAAAAGCTAGTAATGCTGCCATATAACTAAAGGAGTATTAGAGAATTCTAAAATGTGTCAGAAAATAAATGTGTTTACAAAATAAACCTAAAGAAATAGAAAAGGCTTCAGTCATCTATAATTACATGTTAATATCAAACCTTTACCACAGAAAGACTAGAACTGAAAAAATATGCCACAGAACCCAATGGTTTACAATCAAATACGTATTATTATGCCAATGAAAACTTCTGGTAAAATAAGCACATATAAAACAAAAAACTATTTCTATGGTAATGGTACAAAATCCTACACAAAAAAGGAAGGGGGAAGAAACCAAAAAGATTCCATACTCCAAAGTGTTTTGAAAAATGAAATAATTTATCATTTTAGATTATGGGGAGTTGAAAATCTTTATGTAACAATTTAGAAAAGTCAATGGTAAATTAAAACATTAAGTTGAAATCACTATTTTAGCCTCCAAAATATAAGTCAATGCAATCTCTATCAAAATAACAGGTGTTTGTTTTTTTTTTTAACATAATTCAACAAACTTATCCTAAAGTTTACAAGAAAGAGTAAATGCATACAAACTGCTTTAAAACTTCTAGGAGGGAAATGTGGGAATTTGTGCTATCAGATACTGAACTGTTACAAAGCTAGAGTAATTTTAAATTTAACATGGGTACAAAAATAGACAAAAGATTAAAAAACCTAAATACTCTAGAAACAGAACCATGAATTTATGAGATTTTAATATTTAGTAACAGTGACATTCATAAATCAATATGGTAAGGACAGACCAGTTTATAAGCAATAATAAAATTCTGGTGTATCTACTTTAAAGACAGATCTACATAGAAAGATATGGTCAACTTAGTAATGTGGAAAGAAGAAAACACAAAATTAAAGGCAAGCAACAGAGTAAAGGATATATTCACTATATATAATGAAGAATTAGGGTCCAGAGTATATCAACAAATCTTACAAAGCAATTTTTAAAAAGGCAATTAAGTCAAACAAAATGAGAAGAGAAGACAATGAGTAATTCACAGAATTACAAATAATTACAACATATGAAAAGATGATCAACCTCTCTGGTTAGTAAATAGTTGAGAGCGTATTTTCCGCATTAGCCTATCAAAGAAGTTAGTCTCCCCAGAAAGTAAAGATTATCAATGATCTAAGTTCCTCTTTCAGAGAAAATGAGAGCAGAAAAAGTACCTTGCCTTAAGTTGCCCGGCTCTTAAGTGGTGCAGCCTGGATTCATTCCAGCAAGTCTTAGCCCCTGAATCTGTGCTGTTAACCATGCCTTTATACCACTTTAGAATCTATCCCACATAAGCACACAGGTGGACCAAGTATTTTGCTCTTTTTCGCAGCACTGTTCCTAGAGCAGAAAACTGCAAAGTAACTGTCCATCAGTTGGGAAATCATTAACTAAATAATGATATAGCCATAAACTGGATGTCTTGAATCAAAAGATGTCTATTATATAGTTGTTGGGTTTTTGGTTTTGGTTTTGGGTTGTCTTATTAAAGCAAGCTGGAGGGGCGCCTGGGTGGCTAAGTCAGTTAAGCATCTGATTCTTGATTTTGGCTCAGGTTGTCATCTCCAGGTCGTGGGATCCAGCCCTGCAATGGGCTCCCCAATTAGTGCGGAGTCTGCTTGGCCCTCTCCCTCTGCTCCTCCCCCACACCCACCACTTGTGCTCTTCTCTTTCAAATAAATAAATAAGTAAAATCTTAAAAATATATTAAAAATTAAAAAATAAATCAAGCTGGAGATGCTGGGTGGCTCAATTGGTTAAGCATTTGCCTTCAGCTCAGGTCAGGTCAGCCCCCAGGGTCCTGGGATCGAGTCCCGCATCAGGTTCCCTGCTCAGTGGGGGGCCTGCTTCTCCCTCTTCCACTCCCCCTGCTTGTGTTCCCTCTCTCACTGTGTCTCTGTCAAATAAATAAATCCTTAAAAATCAATCAATCAATCAAGCTGGAGACTAATATAGACAATTATTTCCACATAAATATATATACCCTGTATGTATATATATTTGATTTGTTTCTCTAAGAAAATAAAGCACATAAAAGGTTATACACCAAAATGTTACCTTATCAAAAAAGACAAATGGAGGTTAAGTAGATTTTATTTTTCAAATTAATTTTTTTTCAAAATTTTATTTTAGAAAAATCTGTATTATCTGATTTGTTACAAAATATTCTTTTTGTATTTCAAACGGCAAATCTTATGAATTATTTTCATCTTTTGAAAATTTAGTTAAATCTTTTTTTTTTTAAGATTTTATTTATTTATTATGTCAGAGAGTGAGCACAAGCAGGGAGAGTGGCAGGCAGAGGGAAAAGCAGGCTCCCTGCTGAGCCAGGAGCCCAATGCAGAACTCGATCCCAGAACCCTGGGATCATGACCCGAGCCGAAGGCAGACGCTTTAACCAACTGAGCCACCCAGGTGTCCCATAAATCTGACTTTTAATAATTAGGAGAAAAATAAAGTATCTTCCTATGACGCTACAATTACTTCAAAATAAATTTTTTTAAAGACATGGTATATGTATTTATAAACAATTCCAGAATCCCAGTTTGCAGACCCAATTTTGCTACTATCAGTTTTTTCATATATAAAATTAGTTTATTCATATATTAAAATTAGAGGTGATTTCTAATAGCTCCTCCAACTTGAATATCCCAGACTATACCTGCAGGAAAAACAGACTCAAACATAGTCTCCACCAACATGAAACTAATTGAGGTGCTATCTACACTTCTAATGTACTTTTGATTGCATGATATTACTTCCACAACCAATAGCTTACCTGAGTTCTAGTGAGGTAATTTATGGGATGCTGGGAGGTAAACAGTTGGGATTTATGAATTGAAAAGCTTTCCAAAAAGTAAATTACCATAAATAAAAGATGACATATTGAATTTTTGCTTTTTGATTGCTTGTTTTTAAAAAAAAATTTTTTTAAGATTTTATTTATTAGAGAGAGAGAGAGAGCACGTGCACAAGCAGAGGGAGGAGTAGAGGGAGAGGGAGAAGCAGACTCCCCGCTGAGCAGAGAGCAGGACATGATGCTCCATCCCAGGACCCTGGGATCATGACCTGAGCCAAAGGCAGACACTTAACCAACTGAGCCACCCAGGTGCCCCTAAAAAAAATTTTTTTTTAAAGATTTTATTTATTTACTTGACACAGAGAGAGAGAGAGAGAGAGAGAGAGAGAGAGAGCACAAGCAGGGGGAGTTGCAGGCAGAGGAAGAGGGAGAAGCAGGCTCCCCGCTGAGCAAGGAGCCCGATGTAGGACTAGATCTCAGACCCTGGGATCATGACCCGAGCCGAACGCAGACACTTAACCGACTGAGCAACCCAGGGGCCCTTAAAAAAATGTTTAAAGGGTCTGCAGGAGTATGTATTTTCCAGTTTAGAGGGAGGAAAGGAAACAAAACAGCAAGAAGTCCCTTAAGATGGTTAAAACAAGTGCAAGGGCATTTTGTACACATCTAGTACCATGGAGAGATGCCATGCAAGCCTGTTGTCAAAGTAATCACAGAACTGGTAAAATGTAGGAGAGAAGTCTAATGTGGTAGAACACTGGAATACGAAGTAAAAGAGCTGATTTCTGCCTCATCCCTCCACTAAATAGCTATATGATCTTGGTTAAGACACTCAAAAGCTGTAGGACTCAACTTATTCATCTGAAAAATGCTAAGACATGCAAAATTAAATGAAAATTCAAGTATAGAGAAATTTCCTTTATGTAACACCATTGAACTGAGCTTTAAAATAAGCTTTGAAATAAACTCTCTCCTCTCCAAATACCTTAGCCCAAATTTTCATTTAAGAATAATTTTATTTCATAAATATTAATATTTATATTAAAATTATATATTGTATGTTCTATAAATATTTAATATACTATAAATATTTACAGTCTATTAAAATAAAAATAAAATGAGTTAAAACAATAAGATTTATAAAGGTATAAGACACAGAAAGAAAAGATGTTTTTAGATGAAAAAGGTAAGTCAAGTCAACGACTTCCTGGAGGAGGTGTGGGGGTTCTTAGGACAGAAGTGATTAGTTTCTGATTCAGTAATTAATTTTGAAAAAAAAAGTTCATTTTCACATACACTATCTAATTCTCACAGTGACTTGGTAAGAACACATTACCCCCTTTATAAAAGGTGAAACTGAGACTACGTGGTAAACCTGGCTCTAAGGGTTAAAACATACAATTCAAAAGTAAGACCACCAACTTCAGAACCCAAGCCCTTTCCAGCATGGTAAGACAGAAATTATGATCACTGAAGTCACAGCTGCATATCTTTGTGTATGAAATGTACATTTCCAAAAAGTGAAAATGATGTTACTTTTTCAAAAAAGTCAATACTACAGAAAATCTCTACATTATCCAAGTTCTTATTCTCTAGATCAACTGAAACTAATACCACAACACAGTATAAATTGACATAAATATAATGCTCTTGAAACACCAAAGAGTAGTGATGAAGTACACAAAATAAAAATACCGTACACAAAACCATGCTCAAAAATCACTCATAAAGTGCTGCATACATGTTTTTGTGCTTAGGACCCTGTTCAAAAAATCTGTATAAAAATATACTGTAAAATGTAAAGTACTGTAGCCACTGTGGAAAACAGTTTGGTG